AGAACCGGTTACAGAACCGGTAACAGAACCGGTAACAGAACCGGTTACAGAACCGGTTACAGAGCCGGTAACAGAATCATCGGAACCAGTAACCTGGTGGTTCTGATGTTCTGGACCTGGTGGTTCTGATCCAGAACATCAGAGCCTTTAAAGGATGAATTAAAATACGTGAACAGGTTCAGCTTTTAGAAGGAAGATGAGTTTCCAACTCTCTCTCTGTGCTGGAGTCCAGGTGGGACCGGTCCGGTTCTACAGAACCAGCAGGAATTCTGGCTCAGACAACTGAAGCATCACATTCCAAATGTTCCATTTGTCAGCCAGAAAATCCATCGTCTGCTCACTTTAGGAACACCCCCCCCCCCCCCCCCCCCCTGCTGACTTTAAAGGTCCTCGCTCGCTAAGCATCATGGGAGTTTTCCTCCCCAGAGAGACGGCGGTGGCAGGAAATCTGGTGAGTTTGTCTTTTGTCTGTACAAAGAAACAGCAGGTGTGTGTGTGTGTGGGTGGGGGGGGGGGGGGGGGGGGGGGGGGGGGGGACAGGTGAGCTAACTACCTGAGTCAACAGCGACTCATGAATACATTCAGACTCTGGGAACGGGGCAGCTACTGTCACAGATGCCAACCTTGGACGCAAACACCAGCGAGGTAGAAGCCAAGCAGACGAGGACACACTCCTAATCTCTGACACACACACACACACACACACACACACACACACACACACACACACACACACACACACACACACACACACACACACACACACACACACACACACACACACACACACACAGGATAATGTAAGGTAATGTCTACTCAAAAGCTGTTTCTGATGACACACAGAGTAATCTGATTACTGCATCGCTTTGAAGGGAACCTAAAAGTTCTCTGAGGATTTAATGAATTTAAGATTATTCCATTTACTGGATTAATGCCCCCCCCCCTCCTCTTTCATCTGGCCCCCCGACAGCTGAACTCCAGACCCCTCAGACCAGGACTGGTCTCTCCTGGTCCACTTCTGGTGGTCCTGTGGGACTCGTAGCCGTGGGTTTGTTCGCTGGAGACACACCTGGTGTGGTTTTCTGCTGCTGGAGTCCATCTGGTGTGTTCTGCAGACCTTGGTAGAAACCTGCCCGTGGTTGTGGGTTCTGGTCTCAGTAGATCCTAGATGCCTAACATTTCCATCAGCTGCTCTGAAACCAGGTGGATAAACTCAGGACTGGGCTTGAGGTCTTTCATCGTGTGGTTGCCATAGTGACGGATAACTCTTTCATCCATCGCCGTGCGTCTCCACTCAGAGGCCCGGTCGCCGTAACGAGGGCGTAGGCAGCATCTCTCAGGAGACGCTTGTTTTTGATGCTGACAGACGCAGAAATCAAACCCATGTCACCTCCAGGTGGAGATGGATGAGGGCAGATGTTTAACAAGACGAGCTAAATCCTGGAGAAGAAGTCTCCGCTTCTAGAATCAGAGCATCCATTTCCACAACATCACTGACAGCCAATCAGAGGAGGACCTTTACTCCTCACCAGGATGAGATTGTTAACAGCGGAACAAAGATTTGAGTTTCTGAACCTCTGATCTCTGATGTCAGAACCTTTCGTGTTTGATTTGGTTTCATGTTGGTTCAGTTAAAGATCAAGGAGTCAGAACCGGGCCGAGGCATCACCTGAACACCTGCTGGCTGCACCTGTCCATCTGTTAGGTGGGTGCTGAAGCCCACAGAGGTCAGAGGTCACCATTGTCCCGTCAGTTTCATGTGTCCAAGCCACAGAACAAACTCCCACAGGTGGTTATACCTGGACGTCTAGGCCATAGAACATTTATAAGATTTAATTCTCTTTTAAATCACAAAATCAGGTTTGTTCACAGTTGGACGGGTGTGACCTTTGACCCCTGACTCAGCAGCAGGATTAAACATCTGTTTAATGTAATTTTACTGCTTTTGTTTATTCAATTCATTTTGATTTTCTCTAAAAACATTTTTACACTTCAACAGAACAAACAGCTGCTTCATCACATCACTCCAGCCGGGGTCAAAGGTCACAGGACACCACCCCGTTTCTTTGGTTCTGTGTGAGAGGGAATCACGTCGGTTGGAGTCAGAGGTCAGAGGTCAGATTTATTAACAGACAAAATCTCAAATGACCAAACTCCTTAACACCGGTAGTCCAAGAGCAGCACCTCAGACTGACCCCTGAGCCACTGGTCCAGATGGTTCTGGAGCTGCTCGGTCAGCAAACCTGAACAAAGAGACAGATTCACACCTGCACTGAACTGCTGACTCATCTAATCCAGAGCCCAACCTCACGGCGAGCCGGAACATTGCTCACCTGCCTATCTGGGTCAACGCGGGCTAGCACGCTGAGCGCGTCTGAAACCATTCCTCGGGTTTAGTTGCTGATCCTGCGAGGACGCGGCGTAAACACGCAGCGTGACACATCTGCACGCTTCAGGAGAAACAGCAGATCCAGAGCTCCAGGGAAGCTCCGCAGCTAAAGTAGCTGACGTCCATTTGTTCAGGAACAATAATAGTCGGAGATGACGGCAAGCTGCAGCGGCTCTGGAGACGAGTTATGGACCAGAACCAGAGCTGCATGTGGGGTTTGGGTCAGAGCCGATGTCTTCCTGAGGCCTCCTGACCCATCAGCTGTAGGTGGAGCTGCCCTCTAAAGAACATCTCAGGGACCCAAGGACCGGACACACACACACACACACACACACACACACACACACACACACACACACACACACACACACACACACACACACACACACACACACAGAGGAGTTGCTCCTTCTCACCTCTTCCCTCTCCTCGTCTCCTTCAGAACCCTCGCTCTGCTCCTCTCCACCCGCCTCCTCCTCGTCCTCCTCCTCTGGAAACTCCACGTCGGATTCTCCGGGAGCGATGGGAACGCTGATGGTCAGGCTGGGGTTGGTCATGTAGCCGTCATCTTCTGGAACCACGTACTTCTCCACATGACGACCTGACACAGCAGAAGGTTGGGGGGGTTGGTCGTGTGTGTGTGTGTGTGTGTGTGTGTGTGTGTGTGTGTGTGTGTGTGTGTGTGTGTGTGTGTGTGTGTGTGTGTGTGTGTGTGTGTGTGTGTGTGTGAGTGCGTGTGTGAGAGTGCGTGTGTGTGTGTGTGTGTGTGTGTGTGTGTGTGTGTGTGTGTGTGCGCGTGCGTGCGTGCGTGCGTGTGTGTGTGTGCGTGTGTGTGTGTGTGTGTGTGTGAGTGCGTGTGTGAGAGTGCGTGTGTGTGTGTGTGTGTGTGTGTGTGTGTGTGTGTGTGTGTGTGTGCGTGCGTGCGTGCGTGTGTGTGTGCGTGTGTGTGTGTGTGTGTGTTACCAATGATGGCGCCGTTGGCCTCGGTGTGTATGGAACTCAGACGTTTCAGCTTCATCATGGCTTTTGCCTCCTTCCGTTTCTGACGCCGGCGCTTCAGGTTCCCGTTGAAGAAATCCAGCACCTGGATCAGAATCATCACACCTGAGCTCCTAACCTGACCACTAGCATCAACTGCGGCAGGTGCAACTGCAGCGCTGCCCAGAGTTGTTCGTACCCTGGTCAATGCTGACTTAGTTACTTTTACTCAACCAGCAAGTTACTGTTTGACAGGAAGTGACGTGGCAGGTGAGGCGATGTAGACATTTCTCAGCTTTTATTTACATTTGAACAAAAGATGTCATGTCCATGATTATCGTGGGCGACGGTGGCACAGGAGCTAAGTGCTCGCCCCGTAATCGGAAGGTTGCAGGTTCGAGCCCCGCTCAGTCTGTCGCTGCCGTTGTGTCCTTGGGCAAGACACTTAACCCACCTTGCCTGCTGGTGGTGGTCGGAGGGACCGGTGGCGCCAGCGCTCGGCAGCCTCGCCTCTGTCAGTGCGCCCCAGGCAGCTGTGGCTACATCGTAGCTCATCACCACCAGTGTGTGCATGACTGATTGTGTTGTAAAGCGCCTTGGGGGGTTCCAGGACTCTAGAAGGCGCTATATCAAATACAGACCATTCACCATTTATCCAGTCCCTTGTAAAACTCCGCCTCTGGGAAAACTCAAAGTTAAACCATTCCAAACAGCCCACGCTATTATAAAGCATCCTAATTTCCCGGATTAAACGGGAACAGCTGTTTGAACCAACTCAACAGGTGAACAACTGCAGACGTGACACCTGGGAGACACCTACATAATCTCCTGTCAACAATAATAATAACACGTTTTATTTAAAAGCACCTTTCAGGACACCCAAGGTCACTTGACAGGAAATCAGTAAAATACATTAAAACAACGAAGAAAAAGAACGTTGAAAAATAAACAATTCACAAAAAAATCAGAGGTCATAGGCAGATTTATACGTGTGTTTTGAGTTTTGTTGTGAAAAGGGTGAAACTGTCGATGTTCCTGATGTCTGGGGGTAGTGAGTTCCAGAGGCGGGGAGCAGAGCAGCTGAAAGCTCTGCTCCCCATGGTAGTGAGACGGGCAGAAGGAACTGCAAGATGGATGGAGGAAGAAGATCTGAGAGAACGGGAGGGGGTGTGAATACTTATAAGGTCTGAGATATATGGAGGAGAGAGGTTGTGGATTGCTTTAAAGGTATGGAGGAGAATTTTGAAGATGGACCTGAATTTAACTGGGAGCCAGTGAAGCTGCTGGAGAACCGGGGTGATGTGGTGAAAGGAAGGGGTTCTGGTGATAATACGGGCTGCTGAGTTCTGGACCAGTTGCAGTTTATGAAGGAGTTTGTTGGGAAGACCATAAAGAAGTGAATTGCAGTAATCGAGACGGGAGGTGACGAGGCTGTGGACGAGAATGGCGGCAGTGTGAGGGGTCAGGGAGGGGCGGAGACGGTTTATGGAACGAAGATGGAAACAGGCTGACCGAGTTATGTTGTTGATGTGAGCATGAAAAGAAAGTGAGCTGTCGAGGACGACACCCAGACTCTTGACCTGAGGGGAGGGGGAGACTATGGCGCTGTCGATAGTTGTCAGGTTTGGAGATGGTGGATTTGGTACCAACAAGAAGAAGTTCAGTTTTATTGCCGTCGAGTTTGAGGAAATTAGAGGTGAACCAAGGTTTGATTTCTGAGAGGCAGAGGGTTAGCGAGGAGGGAGGGAGAGCAGTTACAGATGAAGTCATGAAAAAGTTTACACCTTTGCTGCCAAAGTGCTGCTAAAACAGTGCAGCAGGACTGGCTAATGTTTGCACTATTACTGGCTGAAAGACTCCGCCTGCCGAGTTGGAGACGCCCCACTTACAGGCGGTGTTTTGCATTTGTACAACCGTCAACCTATCCACGAGGGGCGCAGCAGCACACAAGCTGGTGTAACACTGTATCTGTGAGTGACATCACAGACGGTCTGCGGAGGGCCAAACGAAACATTGTTCTCCTACTTTTGTTGTGCAAACACACCAATTACCAGCCTCTTAGCTAATTCCATGATATCCCAGACCTATGTGAGGCAGAAACTTTATGCTATAAAAACAGCATTCCATCACGTCAGCGTTCAGATGGTGAGAAACACACCACTGAAACATTTTAACACACATTTATCCAGTCAGACAGGCTGATAGTTTACTCATATGTTTAAAGGGCGGCGCCTACGAGGGCTGCTACTGTAAGTGGCGTTCTTCAGCGTGTTAACATCAGGGGTACAGTAGCTATATAGCAACCCCAGATGCTAACAGAAGTTGGAAACCAGCATTTAAAGCTAATGATGCTTCCCAGTGATGTGTAACACCTGCTGCCAACAAGCTTTAAATCCTAGAAATACTTTCTATGCCCAGATTGTATATCGTCTCTCGTCTCGTCTTCCTCCGCTTATCCGGGTCCGGGTCGCGGGGGCAGCATCCCAACTAGGGAGCTCCAGGCCGTCCTCTCCCCGGCCTTGTCCACCAGCTCCTCCGGCAGGACCCCAAGGCGTTCCCGGACCAGATTGGAGATGTAACTTCTCCAACGTGTCCTGGGTCGACCCGGGGGCCTTCTGCCGGCAGGACATGCCCGAAACACCTCCCCAGGGAGGCGTCCAGGAGGCATCCTGGCCAGATGCCCAAACCACCTCAACTGGCTCCTTTCGATCCGGAGGAGCAGCGGTTCTACTCCGAGTCCCTCCCGAATGTCCGAGCTCCTCACCCTATCTCTAAGGCTGAGCCCGGCCACCCTACGGAGGAAACTCATTTCGGCCGCTTGTATCCGCGATCTCGTTCTTTCGGTCATTACCCAAAGCTCATGACCATAGGTGAGGATTGGGACGTAGATCGACCGGTAAATCGAGAGCCTGGCTTTCTGGCTCAGCTCCCTCTTCCCCACGACAGATCGGCTCAGCGTCCGCATCACTGCAGACGCCGAACCAATCCGCCTGTCGATCTCCCGATCCCTCCTACCCTCACTCGTGAACAAGACCCCGAGATACTTAAACTCCTCCACTTGAGGTAGGACCTCTCCCCCGACCCGGAGGTGGCAAGCCACCCTTTTCCGGTCGAGAACCATGGTCTCAGATTTGGAGGTGCTGATCCTCATCCCAGCCGCTTCACATTCGGCCGCGAACCTACCCAGCAAGAGCTGAAGGTCAGAGCTGGATGAAGCTAGGAGGACCACATCATCCGCAAAAAGCAGAGACGAGATTCTCCTGCCACCAAACTCGACACACTCCACACCACGGCTGCGTCTAGAAATTCTGTCCATAAATATGATGAACAGAACCGGTGACAAAGGGCAGCCCTGGCGGAGTCCAACCCTCACTGGGAACAGGTCCGACTTACTACCGGCTATGCGGACCAAACTCACGCTCCTCTGGTAAAGGGACTGAATGGCCCTTAACAGAAAGCCACCCACCCCATACTCCTGGAGCGTCCCCCACAGGGTGCCCCTGGGGACACGGTCATAAGCCTTCTCCAAATCCACAAAGCACATGTGGATTGGTTGGGCAAACTCCCATGCCCCCTCCATCACCCTTGCAAGGGTATAGAGCTGGTCCACAGTTCCACGGCCAGGACGAAAACCACATTGCTCCTCCTCTATCTGAGATTCAACTATCGATCGGACCCTCCTCTCCAGTACCTTGGAGTAGACCTTTCCAGGGAGGCTGAGGAGTGTGATCCCCCTATAGTTGGAACACACCCTCAGGTCACCCTTCTTAAAGATGGGGACCACCACCCCGGTCTGCCACTCCCTAGGAACTGCCCCCGATGACCACGCAATGTTGTAGAGACGTGTCAACCATGACAGCCCTACAACATCCATAGCCTTGAGATACCCCGGACGAACCTCATCCGCCCCCGGGGCTCCGCCGCTGTGTAGTTGTTTGACTACCTCAGCAACTTCTGCCCCCGAGATCGGACAGTCCATCCCCAGGCCTCCCAGCTCTGGTTCCTCCTCGGAATGCGCATTGGTGGGATTGAGGAGCTCCTCAAAGTATTCCTTCCACCGTCCGACTATAGCCTCAGTTGACGTCAGCAGCTCCCCATCCCCACTGTAAACAGTGTGAGCGAGTTGCTGCCTTCCTCTCCTGAGGCGCCGGACAGTTTGCCAGAACCTCTTTGGAGCCGATCGATAGTCTTTCTCCATGGCCTCACCAAACTCCTCCCACGCCCGAGATTTTGCCTCGGCAACTGCCACTGCTGCACCCCGCTTGGCTATCCGGTACCTGTCTGCTGCCTCCGGAGACCCACAGACCAGCCACGCCCTGTAGGCCTCCTTCTTCAGCCTGACGGCTCCCCGGACCTCTGGTGTCCACCAGCGGGTACGGGGGTTGCCACCACGACTGGCACCGGCCACCTTACGACCACAGCTAGCAACAGCCGCCTCGACAATCGCAGAGTGGAACAAGGCCCACTCGGACTCAATGTCCCCCACTGCTCTCGGGACGTGGTCAAAGCTCTGCCGGAGGTGGGAGTTGAAGACCGTCTTGACAGGTTCTTCTGCCAGGCGTTCCCAGCAGACCCTCACTATGCGTTTGGGTCTGCCAGGTCTACGCGGCATGTTCCCTTGCCATCTGATCCAACTCACCACCAGGTGGTGATCAGTTGACAGCTCCGCCCCTCTCTTCACTCGGGTGTCCAAAACATACGGTCGCAGGTCAGATGATACGACTACAAAATCTATCATCGACCTGTGACCTAGGCTGCCCTGGTACCAAGTGTACCGGTGGGCATCCTTATGTTCGAACATGGTGTTCGTTATGGCCAAACTGCGGCTTGCACAGAAGTCCAATAACAAAACACCGCTCGAGTTCTGATCAGGTGGGCCGTTCCTCCCAATCACACCCCTCCAGGTCAAGCTGTCATTGCCCACGTGAGCATTGAAGTCCCCCAGCAGGACAATGGAGTCCCCTGATGGAGCACTATCTAGCACTCGTCCCAGGGACTCCAAAAAGGGTGGGTACTCTGAACTGATATTTGGCCCATACGCACAAACAACAGTCAGGACCCGTTCCCCGACCCGAAGGCGCAAGGAAGCTACCCTCTTGTCCCCCGGGGTAAACCCCAACACACAGGCAGAGAGTCTCGGGGCTAACAAAAAGCCAACCCCAGCCCTCCGCCTCTCACCCGGAGCAACTCCAGCAAAGTAGAGTGTCCAACCCCTCTCCAGGTCTCGGGTTCCAGAGCCAATGCAATGTGTCGAGGTGAGTCCGACTATATCTAGCCGGTACCGCTCAACCTCTGCCACAAGCTCCGGCTCCTTCCCCGCCAGCGAGGTGACGTTCCATGTCCCAAAAACTAGTTTCCTTGTCCGGGGATTGGACCGCCAAGGCTCCCGCCTTGGTCTGCCACCCGATTCACATTGCACCGGACCCTTCATGTTCCTCCTGCGGGTGGTGGGTCCACAGTTGGACGAGCCCATGTATCCGGTTCGGGCTGGGCCCGGCCGGGCCCCATGGGCGAAAGCCCGGCCACCAGGCGCTCGCTCACGGGCCCCAACCCCAGGCCTGGCTCCAGGGTGGGACCCCGGTAACCCTCCGGGCCGGGTACTCCGACTCTTCGTTTTCACCGCCATGAAAGACCCTTCGAACCGTTCTTTGTCTCACCCTTCACCTAAGACCAATTTGCCATGGGAGACCCTACCAGGGGCACTAAGTGCCCCAGGCAACATAGCTCCTAGGATCATTAGGGCACTCAAACTCCTCCACCACGATAAGGTGACGGTTCAAGGAGGAGCAGATTGTATATAATACTGTAATTAACAATAAGTGAATGCACTGGTGGACAGAAGGCACACATGGCTGACACCAGGCTCCAGTACAGTAATAGACATTTCAATGACATACAACCACACATATTTCCAATACTTTATTTGAGGAAACAAATTTAAAAATAAGCCTATCAATTATACGCTAATCACATTCCATGTTATAAAAAATCATGACGAGGTGTTTCAGGATCAACTTTACGTGGACATCTCAGCCGCTGATTTATGCGAGAGCTTACCTTGTGCCACTGGTCCACACTCAGGTTCGGGAAGCACTGGGAAACTAAGGCTTGGTTTATGCTTGACGCATTCACTTTCCACTTGGTGATGCGGCTCGCGGATGGAACGCGCTTCACAACTCGCAGCGTTTATGGTTCGTGCGGCTCGTCTCTGCGGTGAGCCAATATTCTCCCAAACTGTAGGGGGCAGCATGGAGCTCTACGGCATGCATCCAACACTACACCATAGTAGAAGTAGAAATTACTGTTTACAACATGGCATTCCGGCATTTTTAACAGCGTTCTCGTCTTTTCCGACAGTGCGAGCTATTTCTCTCCAAGAATTATTAACAACATGTTGATCACGGTGATCTCTGAGAGCTGAATCATACAAATGTCTGTCTTTACGAACCTCTGCCATACTAGTTCTTGCCGGTCCGCCATGTTTTTCCGCGTCCGACCGTCCACGTGGTTAGAAAGCTTCCTAGGTGAGTGGTGCGGAAAGTTTGGGCCATGCGGAGGTGCGTGGTTGTTAAAATGACGCAATTTTGCCGAGCGGAGTCGTGCGGACCTCGCGGACGTGTCAAGCATAAACCAAGCTTAGGAATGTACCCGCTCTTTCACATTCTCAGGAAGGGCCATTTTCCCATTTGTGCCTGCCCAGTTGCATTTCTTTACCCAGATGTTATTTATCTGGAATGGCACAATACTCATGAAGACAGCGAACACGTCTGGGTGAGGTTGTAAAAAGTCTCCTCTGTCCGACGGCAAAGCCCTCAAAGTAATGTCTGGTGTCGGAGTTGGGGTTGGTACTGGGTGGTCTTGGAGTGTAGATTCTTGTGCAGGTCTACGGGAGGGAGAGGCTTGAGTGGGAGTGTCTATCTGGTAGGGAGAAGCTTGGATGGGAGTTGAAGTAAGCATCAGTTTAAAATGTGTTGCTTGCAAACTCTGGAATGACATGTTGTTGGCCATAGGGGACTGTGAAACAGGGTCCTCAGTAGACGCGTCTTCAAACAGTCTCCCTTTGGCACAACAAGCTTTTGACGCAAGCGCCTGCTCCAGATCAGGAACCCTCTTGGTCATTCCCTCCAGCGCAGATGTCTGTGCTGCCAGCATGGACTCTTGATATTGTATTTTGGTCTCTTGGATCTGCAACAAATTCTGGAACCCTCCCAAAGTCCCTTTGCAGCCTGTTGTTCCTGCAGTAGGCGCAGCTGTGCTTGGATGGACCCTGCTCCGAGGAGCTCCTCTCTACCCTCTGATGAGTCGTTAAAGCCTGGTTCATGCGTCTCCGTCAGCTCCGTAAGGGACAGACACGCACGGATTGACGGAAGCGTTTTGCTCTTTTACTTCTCCGTCTCCTGGAGAGTGTTGCAAAGCAATTGCCCGGCAGGACAGCAGAGGGCGTAGCGCTGTTCTGTGGTATCCTGTCATGTATCGGTCCAAGATCGTGTGTTTATATTGTGTTTTTTGTGTATATAAGAGACTTTTAACACGGACATATTTGTCTCTCATCCTCCCACCTCTTCATGCGCTCCCCACCTCTAAACCCACGTTTCCTGTCATTTCCGTCCACAAATAAAACGCTTGCTGCGCATCTTTTCACTCCTCCAGTCACGGGAGAATGAAACGTTCATATTTTTAGAGTTTTTTCACGAGGTATTCTTCAAGCTTCTCCGTGTCTGCCGCTAGTTATCCTCGGCTCTTTTTGCAATGGCGGCGCTGTAAACAATAGCGGCGTCCTGACCAATCACAAGCTTGCGTAATCCGTCTCATTCGACGGATGTTTAAAAAGTGGGCTCGACTCCGTACGTACTTGCGTGCTGCCGGAGCCCTACGCAAGGACGGATAACGGCGTTGCGTGTCTCCGCACTGACGCAGACGGAGAAGCATGAACCAGGCTTTAGCCTCCATTGAGAGGGAGTCGTTGTGTGTGTGCTACTCTGACCCTAAATTTAACTTCAAGATTCCTGCGTATACCCTGAAGAAGGGCAGTTGGTTGTTGTTACTGCTTCCATAGTCAAGCAGAGGAGCCTACAGTAGCACATATATATACATGTCCTCTGTCCATCAACTTAGAATAAAATAGTGTGGATCAGTCTTATCCCATTTATAAGCCCAGTATCTATAAGACAAATCCAAAAAATCATGAGATTATTAAATAAAATGTTCTCTTAACCAAGATATCTGATCATTATGGAAGCATGCTGCATTCAGTTGAAAAAAATTGTTCAGTAATTCAGAAAAACAGAGTTTTTTTTTTCAGGATAATGCTATACGCTTCCGTAGATCATCGTACGAAGAACAAATAAAAATAAGATGCCTAATGCTTTCCTCCACCTGACAGTGCTCACACAAACCTGTAGCATGGTTTCTCATCATCTTAAGTTTACTATTTAAATAAGGACCAACAAAGCCCTATTAACTATTGTTCCTAGTATTACCCATATATGGTATTGCAGTATTAACATTATCTATTATTTCAAAAAGAAATAACTTCTGCTGTCTTGAATGAGAACCTTTCTGTGACAGTGTCAACAACCAAACAGTGTAGTAAAGCGACATCTTGTGGTGACATCCTGCAATTACACAATTTATGCAAATCAAACACCCCCCCCGGGACCGTGGGCGTGTCCCTGTGTGATGGAACTGGCAGACAAGTGGCTGGTAACTGACTGGTCTTCGGCTGAAAGCCAGTTTACAGTCGGCAAAAAGTGTAAAGTTTTTCATAATTTCATCTGTAGGTTTACTGGAAATGTAGAGCTGGGTGTCATCTGCAAAGCAGTGAATCTGGATACTACATTTGTGGAAGATATTGCCAAGAGGGAGGAGATAGAGGAGGGGCCCCAGGACAGAGCCCTGGGGCACGCCTGACTTGACTGGGGAGGGTTTTTAGGAGAAGGATTCTAACTGGATAAACAGTGCGGCCGGTAAGGTAAGAGGGACACCAGCAGAGGGGGGTGTGAGTGATGTCTAAGGAAGAGAGTCTATTGAGGAGGATGGGATGAGAAATGGTGTCGAAGGCCGCACTCAGATCGAGGAGAATGAGAATGGAAGTCAAACCGGAATCAGCAGCAATGAGTAGCTTGTTGGTGGTTTTAATGAGAGCTGTTTCTGTGCTGTGGTGGGGACGGACGCCAGACTGAAGTTGTTCATAGAGGTTATTGCGGGTGAGATGGGAGTGGAGCTGAGATGCAACGGTTTTCTCTAGGACTTTGGAAATGAAGGGGAGATGGGAAATGGGACGGACATTACTGAAGTCATTGGGATCTGAAGCAGGTTTGTTCAGTATAGGACTGACTGAAGCAGATTTGAAGAGGGACAGGACCGTTCCAGATGAGTGAGGAACGAGTAATGGCTGTTATAAAAGGGAGCAGGGCGGAGAGGCAGGACTTAAATAAAACCAACAACAAACAATAAAAGAACAATAACTGGCTGGTCGACTAAAAGTAGCGTGGTCAACATTTGCCAGGGGGATGAGTGATGGTGGGCAGCACCGTACCTGCTGGCGGCACCAGCCCAGGCCTCGGGTGATCCGGTTGATGGCGATGTGAAGGTTGTTCAGCTCTCCATCATCATCTGGAGCAGACAGGTTGTCAGAGCTGAAGCTGCTGAGGAGCAGAGCCAAGAACAGGTTCAAGAGCTGCAGACACAAGGATGGAGACAGGAGGAGGTTCAGGTGCTGCTCAGGAAGGAGCATCCAGAACATCTGGACTGGGTTCAACAGCAGCTCCACCACTACACAACCAAAGAGCTAGTCTAGCCACGCCCCCTAGCCTCAGCAGGTCTACCATTGGCCCACAGAGTTTTGTGTCTGGCCAATGGAAGCACAGGTTGGTGGACACAGTGGACCTCCACTACAGGAGCTCTGGGAATGTTGACCCTTCAGGACTTCACCTGTCTTGGTCTGAGGTTAGCGGCCTTCATCTGGAAAACCATGTGAGCTGTTTGCAGGTGGGCGGTTCCTTGGAGCAGGCAGCTGATCGGCCATCAGCCATGAGTCCACGCTCACCCCCCACTGCTGGAGATCCTGTGTGTCCCTCCTGGACTTCTCCCTGTTGGCCACTAACCTCCGTCCCGATCTGCAACCCCCCTCTCGGACTCCTCGCCATCTTCAAGAACCGTAAGCTATGCACTCCCATCGTACTCCCTCCCCTTCTGAACTGGTGTTTGTTTGTAGACGGCGCCCAGTCCCGCCGCACGCTACTACCCTCACCTCCTCCGACGGTGCTCCTTTGTTAATACCGTTTATTTTGTTTCATCTCACCCGAGTTTGGCTGACTCTGCATGTCTGGGTCAAAGACTATCCAAAACATCAGCATAAGGCCACAGCAGGGAGTGATGTCACGGATGGGCACCAGAAGGCGTCCACAGACATAAACACAAGACCAGGTCCTGTGTGATGTAGAATGTGGCGTTCAAGGACCAGAAGCAGCATCATATTTTCCAGCTCTGTGAGACAACAAATCCCTGCTGGGCGCTGACGTGTCACCCTCTGATCACTGATGCTTATCAGGTGGGTGAGAGCCTGTTGCCATGACAACGTGTATCATCACCTTAGGTGACCTTCCAGCATCCATGATATTGGTAGCAGAAAGGAGACTGATGAACCTGAACCCCCCCCCCGGACTGCAGAACCAACCATTAGGAACACATTTAATAAATAATCCTTAAGTGTTTGATAGCTTCGCCTATATTAGTCATCTCTGATGGATGTGTGCAGGAGCCATCAGGTCCCGAGCTTCTGCAGACCCTAAAGCTGCTACCCTAGGGTTTGGAGTCCATCCAGGAGCCTTCTGCTGTCCCGGCGCTACAAAGAGTTTAGATTTACCCGCTGACCTTTGCTCCAACCCTCACAGATGGTCATGAGCTTTTGGGTCCCAACAGAACAAGAACGAGATGATGGCAACAGACAGGAGGTTCCTCTGCAGGGGCCAGGCTCAGCCTTAGGGGGAGGAGCTCCAACATCCCCGACAGAAAGGAAGCAGAGCTGCTGATTCTCCGTGTTGAGGGAGGGGCAACCTGAAGGACGTGTTGGAGAGATTATGTCTCCAGGCTGGTGTGGGAACGCCTTGGGATCCCACCGGATAGGAAGGTGGAGGTGGAGGTAGCTGGGGAGCTTCCTGTTACATCTGCTGCCCTGACAACCCACGTTAGCACGTTAGCACAAGGATGAGGGCTGCAAACACAACTGTGGGGATTCATGGACCAGACCTCAACATGGGCTACTAAACTGATCTGAGAACAGCTGAAATCCCCCTAAACCACCACATGAGTGAAACAACGTTGGTGTGTGTCTTTGGGAACAGGAAGTTCTATAAAAGGAAGTGTTTGTATGTCAGCTCCTGGACCAGAGGACCACCTGAGACCCGGTTCTCCTCATCTGACTTATTAGATGAATCTGACCAATTAAATCAGGGATGTTTATCCGACTCGGAGTCGGGGGAGAACAGCTGAGCCTCCTGAGCCACGCAGGCAGGCTCATTGATTCATGATCAGTTTCATCAGCTGGGATTTACAACTAAATGTATGAATATTCAGGTTTGTTTTAAAAGATGCTCTGCTGTCGGCTGAACGTAGCTCAGCGAAGCCAGGAGGCGTGGAGCTCCGGATCAGACAGAGTTCAGCTCCGGTTGTTGAGGAGAGACCAGGAAGCAGCTGCTGTCCTGGAAACCGAGTCCTCAGAGGTGTGTGTGGTGTTGATGAACGAGCTGGCTCTTCTCCTCGTCACAACAAGCCCCAGTAAGCAAAGCCTCCTGGGAAAAGGCCTCTGAGAGGAGGAAAGAGCCGATTCCAGCCGAGAGGTGAGTCAGGAAGACTGGAGCTCACCTGCTGACTCACCTGGTCTGGCTTTAGATTCAGCCGGACCAATCAGAGTGGAGGAGGCTGGTGAAGGGTCGGACCTCAGTCGGGTGGAAACGCTCTTCGTTATGGCTGCTGGGGGGGGGGGGGGGGCTCATCTGCACAATAAATCATCAGAAAAAAAAACAAAACCGGTTTGATGCTTTAGGGGCGGGGCTTATCAACCTGAATAGCTTCATAACTCAAATCTAAATGCTCCTCAGGTCCATGAGCAGGTGTAGACTGGCCCATCTGGTTGAACATCTTAGGGGTGTTCTTGCTGTGTCTTTGTAAGTCCATGCTTTCGTTCTTTTTTAAACACAGAAACAGTTTTGTTTACCTGTTTGTAGCTACAGTTTCGCCGACAGCTGCCGGCTTCTTCAGGCTGACGCTGATGGTGGCGCGTCGGCAGCTGTCGGCGAAACTGTAGCTACAAACAGGTAAACAAAACTGTTTCTGTGTTTAAAAAAGAACGAAAGCATGGCCCATCTGGTGTTCTGGCATCGACCCGGCGGCCCCTCCCCCTCCCCGCTCGGACCTTCTGCAGAACAGAGATGTTTCCGTGAGCGACTCACCCCTCCATTACACCCCCGCCCCCACGCCAGGCCGAATTGTCATCCCAGTCCAGCCCTCTCCATAAGCAGCATCCTACACATCGGAGTTTCCAGCATTGGGAATATTCCACCTTCCATGGAAGACCGGTGGCGGTCCAGAGAAGTCCCAGTGACTAGAGCTGGTGAACGTTCACCTGGATGGCCTCGTTGTGACAGGTGTGCTGAAGCTGAAGTGGTGAGTCAGCAGAAAATGGTCAGCTGCTCGTTTGTCATGAGGAGAAACAGCTGCCCCCCCCCATCAGACAGGTAACCTGGCTCAGGGGAACATCTGCAGCAGCATCTGTATTCTTTCCACCACTTCTTATGAGGAACATTCCCCTTTTTCCCAGGATCAGAAAGCACGTTTTAGAACCAGAATCCACTTTCCTCCCCTCATCCCACGGTGAGCTCTTCTGCTCCAGAACCGGTGGGCTCCTCCAGAACCGGAGGACTCCTCCAGTACCAGTGGGCTCCTCCAGAACCGGTGGACTCCTCCAGAACCGGAGGACTCCTCCAGAACCGGAGGACTCCTCCAGAACCAGTGGGCTCCTCCAGAACCGGAGGACTCCTCCAGAACCAGTGGGCTCCTCCAGAACCAGTGGACTCCTCCAGAACCAGTGGACTCCTCCAGAACCGGAGGACTCCTCCAGAACCAGTGGGCTCCTCCAGAACCAGTGGACTCCTCCAGAACCAGTGGACTCCTCCAGAACCGGAGGACTCCTCCAGAACCAGTGGACTCCTCCAGAACCAGTGGACTCCTCCAGAACCAGTGGGCTCCTCCAGAACCAGTGGACTCCTCCAGAACCAGTGGACTCCTCCAGAACCGGAGGACTCCTCCAGAACCAGTGGACTCCTCCAGAACCAGTGGACTCCTCCAGAACCAGTGGACTCCTCCAGAACCAGCGGGCTCCTCCACTCCACTCATGTGTTTGGTTACATTTCATCCTGCTGACCAGAACTAGCTCTCCTTCATCCTCAGTTACCTTATGTTCTTTCTACGTTTGTTCATTTGTTCCTGTGACGTAACACACACACACACACACACACACACACACACACACACACACACACACACACACACACACACACACACACACACACACACACACACACACACACACACAGGTGACTGAATTCATGCATGGATGCCTTCACACAAATGAGGTGATGTGTGAACAATGAGACCATTTCAAAAGGAATAAATCACATGAACTGGAAAGGATTGGCCATTTCATCACACACACACACACACACACACACACACACACACACACACACACACAGAGTCAACAGCCACTGCTCGTCTAAAAGTCATATCTCCTGCTGAAGAGGTTTATGATGAGCTGACTGCACCTAAACACGTGTGTGTGTGTGTGTGTGTGTGTGTGTGTGTGTGTGTGTGTGTGTGTGTGTGTGTGTGTGTGTCATATGAATCACCTTATTAAATATCCATGGGATCATTAAGATAAACACATCCTAATATAATCAGTGAGGTTCTGATTTGACTCCAACCCAACAAACCAGTCATGAGTCAGGCCACGCCCCCCCAGGGTCACCTGATCACAACAGGGAACCAAGAAGGAGTCTGGGAGAACTCACCACCAGGTTCCCGATGACCATGACCAGCATGAAGACCAGGATGCAGAGCGGCTGACCCGCCACCTCCATGCAGTCCCACATGGTCTCGATCCACTCGCCACACAGAACCCGGAAGACAATCAGGAAGGAGTGAAAGAAGTCCTTCATGTGCCAGCGGGGAAGAGAGCAGTCCTTGGAGATCTTACAAGTGCATTCCTAAAGAAGGAGCAGATGTTAGAGCCATGGAAACATACGTATTGGACCAGGACCGGGTCTCATCCCTTCCACTCACCTGGTAGTTCTTCCCAAACAGCTGCATTCCCACCACGGCAAAGATGAAGACGATGATGGCGAGGACCAGCGTCAGGTTTCCGAGAGCACCCATGGAGTTCCCGATGATCTTGATCAGGGTGTTTAGGGTGGGCCACGAGCGAGCTAGCTTAAAAACTCGGAGCTGGAGCACACAGACAGGAAGAGAGGAAGATTTTCAAAATAAAGGCTACTCAGGTGGGCTGAGGGTTAAAATGAACTCCAGATCTTGGAAATCTCTAATGAATGCTTCAGAAAGTTCTAGAAGGTCTAGCCCTAGCCCCTGGGTGTGAGGGTCAATAGAACCAAAATCCTGTATGCGGTCAGCGTTAAAATGGTTGGTTGTCATGACGACAACGCACCAGCCTGAAGGACCGCAGCACACTCAGACCCTCTACGTCCGATAGGCCCAGCTCCATCAGGCTGAGGCAGACGATGATGCTGTCAAAGATGTTCCAGCCAGTCTGGAAGTAGTAATACGGATCCAGAGCGATGATCTTCAGCACCATCTCAGCTGTGAAGATCCCTGAGAAGACCTGGAACAAAGAAACCCAACTCACATTAGGAGCGTTTCTCCAGGTTTCTGTGGAGGCCCAGCAGAGCTGAATCTGGAGCCCCTCAGCTGCTCTCTGGACATTCGAGATGTTAGACCACATTTATGTTTCTGCTGTAACCTCTAACCCCATCCCATAATAAGGGTTCTTGTTCAGATTGCTGCTAGTTTATTCAATGATGACATGTACACACGTTTTCACAGCCTTTGCTCACGACTGATGCACCTTTGGCACCAATCCTGAAGCATCAAATCAAATCAAATCAAAGCTTTATTTATAAAGCACCTTCCGCAACCCTGTCAGGAAGCCCAAGGCGCTGAACATGGAACAGTACAAAGTTAAAGAAAGTGAATAAATCAGAAAATAAAAGCAATTCAAATTACAAACAATGTGAAACATTCTAGTAGAAGACAAATGTGTAAAACAAGGGAAAAGGTGAACCAATGAAAACTGTGAAATAAATTCAACATTCGAGAGGGCCAAATTCAAACATGTCCAGGAAACGCCAAGCGGAGGAGGTGTGTTTTTAGGCGACTCTTAAAGGCTGGCAGAGATGGGGACAGCCTAACTGAGGGTGGCAACTGGTTCCAGAGTGACGGCGCTAGGACTGAGAAAGCCCGGTCCCCGCGAGTACGACACCTAGACCGAGGGACAGCGAGCAGGCCTTGGTCAGAGGAGCGCGTGATGGGGAATGTCTGTTCAGGAGCGTGGCCAGATAGGGGGAGCACCACCCTGGAAGAAATTAAAAACAAAGACGAGGAGTCTGAAGGGTGAACGATAGCAAACCGGAAGCCAGTGCAGGGAGGCCAGAACCGGACTGATGTGGTCCCGTTTCCTGGTCCCAGTCAGGAACCTGGCTGCGCTGTTCTGCACAACCTGTAGGCGACGCAGTGATGACTGACACAACCCTGCATAGAGAGAGTTGCAGTAGTCAAGCCGAGAAATTACAAAGACATGCAGTACCCGCTCCAGGTGGGCTCTCGACAGCATAGGCTTGATTTTAGCAAGGCGTCTCAGGTGAAAGAAACTGGACCGGATCACTGAATTGATGTGAGCATCAAATTTAAGTCCAGCATCAAGTTTCACCCCCAAACTGGTAACAACTGGTTTTGAGTATGGAGAAAGAGGGCCAAGATCAACATAACGATCCACATTCCTGCTGTTGGGGTGAAAAACAATGAGCTCTGTCTTTCCCTCATTCAGATGCAGAACGTTGGCCATTAGCCAAGACTTCACCTCGTTAACACAGGACACAAAGGACTGGATAGAGTGACCTTTCTCCTGACACAATGGAGAGTAAATCTGGCAATCGTCAGCATACAGATGGAATGATAGGCCATGTTTACGAAAGATTGACCCCAGAGGTAGCAGATAAATGGCAAACAAAAGAGGACCAAGGATCGATCCCTGCGGGACCCCCCAGCGGAGCCCCTCCCAAGAAGAAAAAACATCACCCAGTTTAACACAGAACGTCCTCTTGTGGAGATACGATCTAAACCAGTCCAGAGCAGACCCTTTGATCCCAACCCATCGTTCCAAGCGATCGAGTAGAATCGCGTGGTCGACTGTGTCGAAGGCTGCTGTCAGGTCTAACAACAGAAGCAGCACAGATGTTCCCTGATCTAGTGATAGATAGATGTCATTTAGGACCCTCAGTAGAGCAGACTCTGTGCTATGGCCAGACCTGAACCCTGATTGGAAAACCTCAAACAGATCAGAGTC